AAAAAAAAAAAAAAAACCCCAAATGAAAAAATAGTATCTAATGTACTCAAACTAATATGAAACAATACTAATATGAATATATAAACACTTACTCATACAAAAGATAAAAAACAAATATAGTCTAGCAAGAGGGAGGGGTGAGGAAGGAGAGAGCAGGAGGGAGAAGAGGGGACTGTCACTGGGAGAAGGGAGGGTATTAGGTGTGATTTCACCTTGCACAATGCAAGGGTATTCAGCATGCTCCCCTAGGTGAGGGGCTCTCCTACAACTTGAACTTTACCATGGAAGTGAGAACAATGTAACCTAAAAATGTGTTCCCTCATATTAATTTGAAAGAAAAAGAAATATGGAAAAAAATAAATTAAAAAGGTCTTTTATAGATACGATTACAGGTGATTCTTTTTTTCAATCTTAACTTGTCCAAGTATTTTCATTTTAATCCAGTAAAGAATTCTGTACCTTAACAAATCACAAAGGGACCGCAGCACACAGGGAATCAGACAATCCCCACCAGCAACGGGCCACCTCCTACTCTTATTCCCTCAATCCCTCAGACCCTGTCCTTCTGATCCTCTTTGTCCTACTTCTGGGTAAACTTCATGTCCCTGGAAATTGTCTGAACACCCCAGAACCTCCCTTATCTCTCCTTGCTCACAAGGATGAATAAAACATTTTCATCGCTGGCCAAAGGGAAAGCAGGACACATCCTCCCAGTCCTAGGATGTGACCTTTTGGTCAAGAATGAGACAACCTGGGTTGGGCGCAGGAGTGCACACCTATAATCCTAGCACTCTGGGAGGCCGAGGCAGGTGGACTGCTTGAGCTCACAAGTTCAAGACCAGCCTGAGCAAGAGCAAGACCCCCATCTCTTAGGAAAAAAACAGCCGGCATTGTGGTAAGTATCTATAGTCCCAGCTACTCAGGAGGCTGAGGCAAGAGGATTGCCTGAGCCCAAGAGTTTAAGATTGCTGTGAGCTATGACACCCTAGCACTCTACCAAGTGTGACAAAGTGAGACTCTGTCTCAAAAAAAAAAAAAAAAAAAAAAAGAATGAAACAACCTGGTCTCTAGATCTTATAAACTACAGCATTAGCCTGCAAACCCTCAAACAGTACACTCAGACCTCCAAAACTGACCCAGTGGTCTCCTGCCAGGTGCAGGAGCCCAGCATAGGTGCATCTAATTTCTCTTGAGAAGCTAAGAGAGGTTATAACTGTACTTCCTTCTGCTTCCCTGTGTGAGGCTGCCCAGACTGTACTTTCCTGCAGACCACCTTTGTGAATGATTCCCGGCTCATGCAGTAATAAACCTCTCTTTTCTGTTTTTATGCAGGTAGGTTTGAGTTGAGAAGATTCATGATGAGACATCTCCCTCTAGAGCTGCCCAGTTCCCTTCTCTGTCTGCATCTTGAACCAAAAGTCAGTTACTTGAATGATCTGTGACCTGGCCAGCTGCAGGTTTTTCCCAGCAGTGCCTTTAACATCCCCAGGCATTGGGAAAGGCATGTTAGTTTGCTAGAAAGAAATTAGCCTTGGGGCTCCGTGCCCGCGGCTCAAGTGGCTAAGGTGCCAGCCACATACACCTAAGGTGGTGGGTTCAAATCCAGCCCAGGCCACCAAACAACAATGACAGCTGCAACCAAAAAATAGCTGGGTGTTGTGGCGGGTGCCTGTGGTCCCAGCTACTTGGGAGGCTGAGGCAGGAGACTCGCTTGAGCCCAGAAGTTGGAGGTTGTTGTGAGCTGTGATGCCACTGCACTCTATCCAGGGGGACAGCTTGAGACTCTGTCTCAAAAAAAAAGAAAGAAAGAAATCGGCCTTGGGCCTGAGCTAAATTCCTGAAACCTTCACAGAAACTCCATATCCTGATCCCTGCCCACGGACACTCCTAGGTAGGACACCCCTTTTTTTCACTGCCCACAGTGAGGATGCACAGCAGTACCTCTGTACACAGGATCCCCTAATAAACACTTCGGACTGACCACCCTGGTGCTCTGTGCTTCCTTCTGAGGAATCTCAACCTGCCCCATTTGTAGACAGTCAGGGGAACTCCTGCCACCACTTTTGATGGGGGTTACTCCAGTTGCAGTTTCGGCAGGTCAAAACATCACCCTCACTGCCCACCAAACGTCCCGGTACTTCAGACCTGCAGATGTGTACCCAGCCCCAAATTCTTGCTCTCACTCTCCTCAGCTTTGTTTCAGGAATCCTCATATTCCCCACCACCCCTCTAGTTACTTACCATCTCCCTAGGTCCCCAATGCCCCTTCTAGGTCCCACTATCCCCTCCAAACCCCAGAGTCGCTTCCAGGTACCATCACCCCTCCAAATCCCAGCGTCTCCTCCAGGTCCCAATACCCCCTCTAGGTCACCAGCGTCCCTTCCAGGTCCCCAGTGTCCTCTCCAGGTCCTCAACACATCTTCCAGACCCCACCGCCACCCTAAGTCCCAGCATCCTCTCCAGGTCCCCAATGGCCCCTCCAAACCCCACCTTCAGCCCTCTACCCCTTTCTCGGCCCAGCCCACCTCCCCTGTTCCACCCAGAGGGGCTGAACCAGGACTGATCCGGCTGCTGCTAGTTTCCACCCCCCCTCCTCCCCCCCCGCCACCACCCCCGCCACCCCCGCCCCCAGCCTCTGAGCCTCAGGAAGCCGAGGGCTCGTACCGTGTCAGTCACAGTCCGGAGGGCCGGAAAGACTCAGGCACAGGCCTACCGCAGCCTTGCGTCCTGCTCCCCTAAGGCGCCTCGCGGAGGAGCGAAGAAGGAGAGCCGAGGCCTGGAAACTGGACCCAAACCCTGACGCCGGACGCGAACCCCAACCCTTTGGCAGCGCTCAGAGCGGTCGGCGCCTGCGCCAAGTGAGGGCCGCGGCGGGCCGCCCGCATGCGTGCTGGGCGGTGATCCTGGCTCGGGTCCGGTGGGAACACGGCGTCCTTGGGCTCCTGGTTCCGTACCTGCTCCAGCCGTTTCCGCTTTGGTCGGAAGTGAAAAGCGCGACCTGGGCTCCAGCCTCCGGGGCCGGGGCCGGTCCCGGAGCCTCCCGCGGCCTCCTAGTGCCCCGAGCCGGGCCGGATGGACCGTGAGACGCGCGCCCTCGCCGAGCGCTACTTCCGAGGCGGCGGGCGTGGCGACCCGAGATGCAGTCCGGTCCTGGGACGCGTGGCCTTTATTCCAGAACCCGCCTCTTTCTCCTACGCTGACTTCGTCCGCGGCTTCCTGTTGCCCAACCTTCCCTGCGTGTTTTCTAGCGCCTTCACCGAGGGCTGGGGCGGCCGGCGGCTCTGGGTGACGCCTACGGGCAGGCCAGACTTCGACCACCTGCTGCGGGTCTATGGTGAGGGCAGGATGGCGGGGCCTGAGTCCGACCTGGACGGGATTGGGGGTAGGAGCCGAGGGCGGTGAGGTCTGTGTCCAGTCCCCGGAATGAGGCAAGCTGTATCCTGGGCATCAGAGCCCAGGCCCAAACTCCGGGGATAAAGGCAAACCATGGTCATCTCAGCAGGTACCTAGACTCCCTGAGCTAGAGCTGGATATAACAGAGGGGCGCCTTGGAGAAATCCTCTGCAGGAATTCCGTTTGGAAGACGGATGGAGTCCAGGGGATTGACAGCATGGAGGACTTTAAGCAGTCTGTGCCCGACCCTTTCCCTTTCAGGAGATGTGGTTGTACCTGTTGCAAACTGCGGGGTCCAGGAATACAACTCAAACCCCAAAGAACACATGCCCCTCAGAGACTACATCACTTACTGGAAAGAGTACATCCAGGGGGGCTACTCCTCTCCCAGGGGCTGTCTCTACCTCAAAGACTGGCACCTGTGCAGGTAAACTGTCATGGGACACCAGCTGTGGCACCACCTTCCCTAGTCCGGTGTGAACCCGGTGGTATCCCCCACCTGCAGGAATAGCTGCTCTTTCTTCCCAATTAGGAATTTTGATCAATTTAAAAGAAGCATGGCTGTCTTAACATGGTTGGGAGTGTTGGCTCTTTGAGAAGGTCCGTACATTTTCATGAGCAGAAACCATTTAGTGAGACCTCCACTAGCTGGGTCAGAGTAGGTACTTGATTAATTTTGAATAAACAAGGAAACAGTTGAATTCTTGCCTAACTCCTGTGCATATAAAGCTTAGAAGGACAGAGGGAGATAGAATTCAGGCCCCTGTGATTACCATAGTCAATCTAAAGTGCATGAGAAGCACCAGCATCTGGGTTCATATCTGCCACAGGGCTACTTGTTTAGTGCAGAGAATTGCCCCAGTACACTGTGGGTCAGGTGTGCCCAGACCCTGTCTTGGCCCCAGAGATCTCCTGTTGCAATAGCAGAGACAGACAAATAGACTCAAACACCTTCTGGTACTGTGGATTTGGGATTTAGACGACTGTTTTTTTTTTGTTGTTGTTGTTGTTTGTTTTTTGGTACTCAGATAGTACAAGGGACATCTATATTAGAAAATTTTTCATTTGAAATTCAGTTTTTTACTGAGTGTCCTATATTTTATCTGGCAGAGGAAGGTCTGGGGTCAGGCATTCGGGGAGGCCACAGGAGAGGTAACATCTGAGCAGAGTTTTTACGGATAAATAGGAGTTTGTCAGCTGCATAAAGGCAGGCCAGTCACAGGGACCAAAATGGTGTTTTGGGGAACTACATGTGGCTTGTTGCTGCTAGGGCTCTCTTTTTGTCACTGTCTCTGACCAGGAGTCACATGTGAGTGAGTCCAGAAGCTCTTTCCTGCATGGCATTCCTGCGCTTGTACCTTCCTCAGGGTTGGTTTAACACACCCATGTTTGGACGCCCATTAGTGAGGTTGTGGGAGTGGACCCAGAGGGAGGGAGGGGTTGGAAGGGTAAATAGGCAGGCCTTGTGCCTGGGCCTGTTGCTGGCAGATGAGTTAGGTTTGCTGGAATCAGTGAAGAGTGAAGAGGACCACAGTTGGTAACCAGACAATGCCAGGGATACATTCAGAGCTCTCAGCTCAGCCAGAGGCTAAAATTCCACCAGAGGTGGTACTGCCTTTGTGAGCAGTGCTTTATCACAGGGCACCTCAGAGCCACCTTAGTGGCTTAATGGTTCTGTGTTTCTGTGGTTCTGTGGTTTGGGTGTGGCTCAGCTTGGCCCCCTGGGGACTGTGGCTATGTGGCAGCTCTGTAGAACTGGGTGGTCCTGGGTGATTACTGGAAGCCCAGCTCCTATAATCCTGTACATCTCACTTGCCAGTGTGGGCAAGCTGCCAAGATGGGAGGGCAGGGAGGTGGGCCTCCTTCTGAGCCTACCATCCTCTCCACAGGGACTCCTCAGCAGAGGATGTGTTCACCTTGCCTGTGTACTTCTCATCTGACTGGCTGAACGAGTTCTGGGATGCCCTGGATGTGGATGACTACCGATTTGTCTATGCTGGGCCCAAGGGCACCTGGTGAGACCACCTGGCTTATAGGCCCAGGCTTACAGGAAGAGGGGTCTGTTTATCATAAATGTCAGAGCTAGGGTCTGTCCTGTATGACTAAGGGGCCACCCTCCTTCAGATGGAGGCCTTTGGGGTACTAAATCAGTTAACCTATTCAGAAGGAGCTAAGCCCATGCTGGACACCACAAGGCACTAACCAGGAGCTTGTGTTACATGCAGGTCTCCATTCCACGCTGACATCTTCCGCTCCTTTAGCTGGTCCGTCAACATCTGTGGGAGGAAGAAGTGGCTCCTCTTCCCTCCAGGGCAGGAGGAGGCCCTGCGGGATCGCCATGGTAGCCTGCCCTATGATGTGACCTCCCCCTTGCTTCTTGATGCCCATCAGTACCCAAGGCGCCAGCACTGTGGCCCACCCCTGGAGGTCACACAGGAGGCGGGCGAGATGCTATTCGTACCCAGTGGGTGGCACCACCAAGTCCACAACCTGGTGAGACTGGCAAGGCCACCTGGCTGGAGCAGCCTATCTCCCTGCTTAATGTGCACCTGCTCTGGTCCTCGGCAGCCTGCAGACCAGCCAGTCCCTTATGGTGTCTGGAGGCCCTGCCAAACCACTCCCTGCCTGTTCCTCCCCTGGGCTGGCTGTGTTCTGAGATGGCCCCAGCTGGTATTTTTTCCTCTCTGCAGAGTGGGCATGGCTGGGAGGCAGGAGCAGCCCCTCTCAGGGGCAGAGGGCTAGACCCCTATGGGGTGTTCCAAACACACCAAGGGCTTGTTGCCAACTGCTCTCTGTCCCTGCCAGGATGACACCATCTCCATCAACCACAACTGGGTGAATGGCTTCAACCTAGCCCACATGTGGCACTTCCTGCAGCAGGAGCTGCGAGCGGTGCAGGAGGAAATTGGCGAGTGGAGGGACTCCATGCCCAACTGGAACCACCACTGCCAGGTGGGGCAGCCTGGTGGAGTAGGAACTGAGACTGGGGAAGAGAGTGTAGGGCAGGGACTCACTAGGGCTGGCTGTGACCACCTACAGGGTCAGGGAGGACAGAAGGTGGGCATAGGCTGTGTGGGTGATGGGTCTGCCTGGCCAGCCCTAGTAGTGCTCAGCCTCTTGGTGCCTATGTTTACTGGTCCCTGCTCTTTGTCTTCAAGTACAGGGGCCTGTGTCTGGAGCCCTTACAGTCTGGAGCTGTGTCCATGGCTTCTGGCTTACAGGCCTCTCTCCCCTCTGGCCCAGGTCATCATGCGGTCCTGCTCAGGCATCAACTTTGAAGAATTCTATCACTTCCTCAAGGTCATCGCTGAAAGGAGGCTGCTTGTCTTGGGCAAGGGCATGGCAGAGGGCAGTGCAGGTGCTGAGCTGGGCCCTGAACAGGCAGCGTTTGATGTCGGGCGCATCTCAGAGGTGCTGGCCTCTGTAGTTGAACACCCAGACTTCCAGAGAGTGGATACCAGCATGTTTTCACCACAGCCTGAGGAGCTGCTGCAGCAGCTTAGGGAGGCTGTTGGTGTCACCATGGTCCTTTAGTGTTCCTGCCCCACCTTGAGCCATGTGGCCTGGATGTTCCAGGAATGGCCCTTCCTGTGCATCCACTGGAATCCTGGCCATCTGTGACCATTGTCCAGGTCCCTGTTCTCAGGTGGGGCCTGGTGAGGTCAGGGGCCTTGGATCTGCTGAGAGGGTGCTAGATGGGGACATTGGTCCATCTGACCTGCAGCAAACCTGCAGGAGCTCAGGCTGGATGGCATTGTGACCAGGTTTTCTTGGAGCCACCACACCCCTAGTGAAGGCTAGGGCACCTGAGCTGAGGGGCATCTGTGTCCTGTCTGCCTGCTCTTGAGGCTCCTCCTGGTGGTGCTGTGCTTCCATGTGCTTACCAGGGCCTTGAGGTGGGGAAGCTGAGCTTGCCCCACTCTCCCATGTGGGGGACTTGGAGGGTGGGCTACAGAGCCTATGGCCCAGGCGTTCCTTTCCCACAGCCCCCACATGGCAGGCCTGGTCTCTGCCCTCAGGAAAGCCTGGCTGCTCCTCTGCCAGGCTCAGGGCCCTCTCCCCCTCCCTGAATTCTGGGCTGGGAGGGTGCCTGCTGTTTCTCATGCTTGCTGCACACTGTAGGTGCCCTATAAATCCTTGAGGGAGGAGGGAGCAGGCAGGTAGTGTGTTACCTGCCCAGCACCTCCACCTATAGCTCACCCATCTCAGTGCTACCTCGCCCTCTGCATGGTTGAGTCTTCTGGTGACATTGTTCTCAGGAGTGCTGTCCCCACCTCTACATGCTGGGCACAAAGGTTGAGGTGAGCAGGCTGCTTACCAGGGCCTCACCCTGAACCTCATGGAAGTATAGCTGGCCAGCAGGGCTGGCATGTGCTATAGGGGTATGATTCTTGGGCCATCCATGGCTCTGAGGCTCCCTGCTCCTGCAGGAGATGCCCTAGACCTCAGCCTTCTGGCAGTAACGACGAGAGGAGCAGGGCTCTGTCTACATCCTTGACCCCTAGTCCACTCCTTTTCCATTGGTCCTGGATCTGCCATCCCCACCCCAGCAACAGAGGATGCATCTGACTGCTGTGCCATCCAATGTGGCCACCTTGACTCCTGGCCAGCATGGATACCCAGGAGGGCAGGGACTAATGTCTGTTGAATAAATTATGCTAAGTGCCTGGAAGAACAGCTGTACACAGTATGCCTCTAGTGTGTTTGTCAAATGGACTCCAGCCAACACCTTCCCAGGTACCTGGGCATTGGTTCCTCTGCCTATTCCCAGGGATTCCTGGTATGACTGCACCAAGGCCAGGGACCCTGGGGTGGCATTTCACACCTACCAATGGAGATAGCAGTTGCTCAAACTGCAGATCACCCACCAGCTGAGGCTGGTGGAATCACCCGCCAGCTGAGGCCCCCTGTGGTGGAAAGGGAGATGGCCGTGCAGGGTGGGCCCTAGGGGAGCACTTTTTACACTTACTCCCCTCTAGTCCCTAGAAAACCTTCAAGTCTGGTCCTCAAGAGTGAGCTTGGGGCTGGGAGGCGTGGTGGCAAGCCCCAGTGAGCTGCAGCTTCAGCACCTCCTGGGCAGCAGCGCTTAGCACCAGTGACCTCCAGGAGCCAAGCCTGTGCTGACCCAGCACTCAAACTTCAGTGACTAGGCACAGGACAGATGTGATGTGAGAGCCCAGCAGAAAGGACTAGGTGCAGTGGCTCCTGCCTGTAATCCCAGCACTTTGGGAGTCAGAGAGGCATATCACTTGAACCCAGGAGTTTGGGTTGCAGAGAGCTGTGATCATCCCGCTGTACTCCAGCCTGGGCCACAGAGCAAGACCCTGTTTCAAAGAAAAAATTTAAGGTGGGAGAATAATTAAAAATATCAGCACCACAAACTCAATTCAAATTGGGGTAGAGGGGGAAGGAGAGAGGATTGATGTGCTCCCACCTAACAGGCATAATACCTAACAAACGCAAACACTCTAACCGAATCATTTGTACCCTTACGTTAATCTGAAATTTTTAAATGAGAGAAAATAAAAATAACAGCACCTTCAAGTTGTTTGAGGGTGGTGCCTCCCTGTCCAAGATCCCATATTAAGGATCTGATTGCAAAACATCCTCACAGTAGGAATGATTACTGACTGCTGCTGTGCCATCCAGTGTGGCACAAGAAGGACACTTAGGTGCTTTATGGTGTCAAGAGGCAGCCAGAGGTCATGCAGGTCACAGCCATCCAGCACTGGGCTGTGTGGTCCTCACATGCTCCCGACTGGGTGTCTAGGGTCACTTAGGCCTCCTAGGTTGAAGATGTATGCAGACACTGGTTAGAGCCCTCTTGCCCTCACAGGCACTTTTTTCTAGGGGGCATATTCAGGCAGTTACAGATGCAGCAAGGAAAAGAAGTCCTGGGCGCAGGTTCTGAGCAGCAGCAGGTCAGGGAGTGGAAATCCACCTCCTAGCCAGCACCTGATGGGCCCCAATTGTTTAGGGGCAGTGACTTCTGAGCCTCTTGGCCTCCGGTTGGCAAGAATGAGAAAAAATGCTAACATTTGGGCCAAGTGGGCACAGGGAGGAAGCCACTGCACAGACTTCTGGACTGGATGTCAGGTTTAAGCCTTGAAATAGCCACCCTCGGCTTGACTACCCTGTCCTGGGAGTCTGTTGGGGCAGGGAAGTGGCAGTAGGACATTAGGACACATGTGGGGTGCACAGAAGGAATTACACCTGGACCTTGGAGCCTGAGCAGGCTATCACCATGGTGAACTGTCTCCATTGTGGAAAGCCTCCTTCTAGGGGCCAGAGAGGTGGCAGTGAAGTGTTACAGAGATGTGTAGGTGAGTCCCTACCTTGCTAAGTGGGATGAGACAGTAAGGATAGTTGGGTGCACAATGCCCAGGACACCCAAATGGCAGGAGGCCGAAAAACAGCAGCTCAAGGCCTAACATCAAGTGGAAATAGTGCAAAGACTGATATACCCACAAACATGGAGAAAGTGGCCCCAACCACATCTAAAGCTGGGTAGTGGGGAGGGGGCGGTGGCCAACATTCCTGTGGGAAAGCTGAGAAATAAAGTTCCACCCTGTCCACACAAACACCAACCTGGGAGGAAACGGAGGACAGCCCAGAGGCCTGGGAGTGAGGGCACACAGTACATCCAGCCCTGACCTGCCCACCTGCTCCCCCACCACTCCCGCCCTACGGAGATAGGGAGGGATGAGACTGTGATTTGGCCAAGGCAACTGTGTCTGTGGAGGCTGAGGTAGAGCCACCCTTCCCAGGGCAGGTTGCTCAAGCAGGGCAAAGCCAATCTCCTTGCATCTGGGGGCTGTGGCCCCCACAGAAGGCGCCTCCCCCAGGGACATCCTTAAGTTCCTGCACCTGCCCTACAGTCCACATCCCACGTCTAGCGCATCTCCAATGGCCACATCCAAGGTCTCTTCCTTTCCTTTCTGCTCATCCATGCTCTGGGGCTTGGTAATTAGAGCTAGTTCCCATTCCCTGGGTGGGAGTGGGGTGACAGATGACCGTGCTGGAGTCTCTCCCAAGCCCAGACCAGGGTCCTCTGTTGGCTGAGCCCTGGGGTCCCATACAGGGACTTGGCTTAGGAGGCAGCAACTTCAGGCCTCAGCTAACCTAGCGCAGGCTTCCACAGGCCTCCCCACATGCGTGCAGGGCGGGGTAAGGGTGTGAGGTGAAGGCATTTACCTCTGGGAGCTGGAAGGATGGTCCTGCAGTTGCTGACCTAGCGTGGACCATCAGTTCAAGGGATGAGTGTGCACAGCCCCTTCCCTAAGGCCTTGGCCTAAACGTGTCCCTGAGCTGCCCAGCGACCTCGAGTTGTACCCCACAGAGTCAGCAGTCCTGGGGGCACTGGGCCTCTCACCCTTGCTCATCCTCACACTCCAGGCTCCTGACCCAGCCGGGCTCCTTTCCCTGCTCCCCTCTCCGACAGCCAGCCGCTCTCCTGGGAGATAGTGCCCGTCCCGCAGGCAGGACACCTGCACTGCTCGCCTACAGCTCACTTCTGGTTAGGCGCCGCCCTCGCAGAACTGAGCTCTCCTTCCCCGCCCGCCTTACACCTCCCTCCCTTGGGTAGGCAGCCCCCTGAGGTCAGCCGCCGTCGCAGGTCGCCGGCTTGGCTGGAAGGTCTCGGCTCTCTCCGGCCTCTGTCCGACCTGGGGGTGGAGGCCCAGTAGTTCCTCAAACCCTGCCAGCTTCCTGCCGTGGCAGAGGAAAGTCGCTCAGACTCCCGGCTCAGGGACTCGCTGCCCTGCTGCTAGGGCCCCGTAAGGACAAGGCCCTGGCCCGCAGGGCTGTGGTACTGGGAAGTGCGGTGCAGGTGAGAGGAGCAGCCCCACGCCTAGAGGGGCGCCGTGGACTGGGAGGCGGCCGAGTTAGCCTGGGAGTTTCCTGGCTCTCAGTGCGTCCGTGAGCATGACGGGCACTGTCGCCCCCTGGTGGCCAGCACTTGCTCCGCAGCTCAGGCGAGAACCAGAGAAGAAACCTTGCTTGCGTGCGAGTGTCCAAGGCGTGCAGTTACAGTAGCGGCTTAAAGGAACTCCTCCGCTCCCTCCGCGTCCCGGAGGTACCCCTTCACCCACCATGCCTTGGGGCCGACCTCCAAAGGGGAGAGACCACAGCTCCAACAGGACCCTGTGCCATGCTTGGCACCACCCCAGGACTAAGGTGACCAGATTTTCACATTGGTAAAGCGGGACACCATTGGGGGCGGGGGGCGGGCCCTGACAACAATGCAAACTTTGATAAGCAGTTCTCCATAATCAGTTCTCAACAATTATTTGTTACTATTAAGGTTTAACATTATAAAATGAACAAAAATAATATAAAACGCATATCCTGGCAAAATAGCCACATGGCAGCCAAAAATCATATATTCCTTTCCTGTTCTCCCGTGTTCCCTAGTTTGTCGTGCATTCTTTCCAAAAATTGGGGCTTTTTTAAAATGCCGCAGGACACAGGACAAATTGTTAAAAATCAGGACTGTCTGGCCAAAAGCGGAGGTCTGGCCACCTTACTCTAGAGGGGGCGGGCTCATTGGTTTGTTCCAGACAGTTTGGCTCCTTCTGAGCTAATTGTCCTTGTCTAGAAGCAAGGGAGGGAGCCAGTCTCCTTCTGATACCTTGCCCAGGAGTGGGGTAGGGGGTTTACATTAGCCTTTTCATTTCCAAATGAAGTTACATTAACCTCTTCATTCCCAAATGGAGTTACAATAACCTCTTCATTCCCAAATGGAGTTACATTAACCTTTTCAGCAGCCGAAATCCCATTCTCCCGCTGTTCCCTAGCTTGTCATGCATTCTTTCCAAAAATCGGGACTTTTAAAAAATGCCGCGGGACATAGGACAAATTGTTAAAAATTGGGACTGTCCCGCCAAAAGCAGGACGTCTGGTCACCTTACCCAGGATGCTCTCTGTTCAGTAGGACCTCCAGGAAATTTAAACAGTGGAATTAAACACACTTTAAAATTACAAGAAGGTTAAAAAAGTCAAAAGGAACATTTGAAAATAGGGTTGGCTGAAGATATATACAAATTTTGGAAGGCAGTGAAAGCAGTGCTTAGACAGAACTTTAGGGCATTAAATGTCTATGTTAAAAAGGAATAATAATCTCAAGTCAATAACCTTTCTTTTTTCTTTCTCTCTCTCTTTTTTTTTTAATTGGAGATAGAGTATTAAGCCGTTGCCCAGGATAGAGTGGTGTCACAGTTCACAGCAACCTCTAACTCGGGCTTAAGCGATTCTCTTGCCTCAGTTTTTCTATTTTTAGTCAAGACAGGGTCTCGCTTTTGCTTAGGCTGGTCTCAAACTCGTAAGCTCAAGCAATCCACCCACTCCGGCCTCCCAGAGTGGTAGAATTACGGGTGTTATGAGCCACCGTGCCTGGCCTCTTTTTTTCTTTTTTGAGATAGGGTCTGGCTCTGTCACCCATGCTGGAGTGCAGTGGCATCATCATAGTGACCTCAAACTCCTAGGTTCAAGTGATCCTCTTGCTTTAGTTTCCCCAATAGCTAAGACTACAGCTGCCACCACATCTGGCTGCTATCATTATTATTATTATTACTATCAAGAGAGACAGGGGTCTCACTATGTTGTTCAGGCTGGTCCTCCCACCTTTGCCTCCCAAAGAGCTGGGATTACAGGCCTAAGCCACAGCCTGAAACCAGTAA